CTTCCGATCTGAAGTGTCTTGAAAAATATCTAGTTAAATATTACAGGGTGTATGCAGGAATCCTAAATGTATTTTCAATACCTTTTTAAGACTTTTTAAAGACCTTCGCAGAGTATTTTAAGACCTCATCACCACTTCAAGTTCTATACAGTATCAGTACCTATTTAACTTAATAAACAGCTATTAATAAACAGTTGTAGTTAAAAAAAAAATCAATGGAGCACATCCAAACAACAGAACTCAGATAAGCTTGAAAGAAACCTAGCTTGAAATAATAAATTACGTGGTTGTTTTTAGCGACAGGTTTCAGCCACTGTTTAAACTCGACTTTCTCCAACCAGGAATACGCAAACTTACATTTCACATTTAGCCGTCTGTTATGCTCTATGATTTCAGTACACGTGGAGCTCGTCACATCCACTTCCTGTGTTTGTTCACAAATTACGTGACATCACCCGGACGGAGGAGCTTGGCTGGACACCCCCCCCCCCGGCCCCCGGTTTGAGTATGCCATTGTTAATATTAAGAGGAAAATAATATATTTATGCTTTTTTTTGAAGTCAAACACTTTGGACAAGGCTTGAACAAAATTTAAGACCTCGTAAAAACTTGATTAAGACTTAAATACTTTTCAAGGGCCTTAATTTTCTCATAATTGATTTATCAACTTTAAGACCCAGCAGATATGCACCCTGTGTTATGTACTGTCATCATGGTAAAGATAAAATAAATCAGCTATTAGAAATGAGTTATTAAAACTATCAAGTTTACAAATGTGTTGAAGTAATCTTCTCTCCGTTAAACAGAAATTAGGCAAACAATAAACAGGGGGGCTAATAATCCAGGGGGTTTAATAATTCTGATTTCAACTGTATATAAATGCTACAATGAAAAGTATTATAAAACAGCGTGAAATATATAAGATTTATGACTACATATGAAACATCTTGTGTCCAATCACAAAAAGCTCTACATGTTTAAAACCATAAAGTAGACTAAATACTCAGAGAATTTCAAAATCTGCCAAAATCTTAAAACACAAACCAAATTAGACGCATCTCTGTTCTGCATAAAGCTTTTAAGACATCCACTCAGACACCCACACGCGCATTCGTTCATATGTAACTTCCATCGAGCCCAGAACGGAAGGTACATAGGGTTAAAACAACCTCAGCCTCCAGTAAGAGCCTGTAATATTTGTTGGTCCACATTGGACTTGATTAAAACTAACACGAGCGGAGAAACACGGCGTTCGCGCAGGACATTAGCCGGAGACGGCGTGAATAAACCTCGCCGAACGCTAACAAGCACATAAAAGCGGAGCGCCGCTGCTCCTTAACAAGCTTCTTCAGGCAAACGTGCGCACAATACAGCTTAATGCGTCCAAACTGGACTAAATGAAAATGTTGTGTTTCGCTTAAAAAACACAGACAGACGCCTGCTTTTCTTTCTGAAAGGCACAAACTGCGGCCCACTTCAGCGCGGCTTTCAAATGCGAAAGTGCACAGTGATACATACAAACACGCATACACGCGCTCGTTTGGAGGGCAAGGTTTCTGAGAGTGCTCATTTAAAGTCTTAAATCTGTCCATTAGGCTCCATTGTAGAGAAAATGTGGAGTAAATGAATATAGCGCGGCTTATGCTAAAAGCCCTTTGCCACAGCAACCAATTAAGAATAAATGATTGGCTATAAAAAGCGCCTCACTTCCTGTTCCTCGTCTGTAAATAGTGAGGCGGGAGGCACTCTCTTGGCTCATTAAAATGTGTGCACACGCGTGTCGTCCTGAGTGAAGGTATAGGCGGCTCTCTAAAAAGACAAGGCAGGAATCCATTGAGCGCAAATGAAAAATCAAAGCCGCCGTTTCTTTTCGAAGAGCGTCTGCTTCATTATGTCGGCCTAATGTTGGGCCGTAAAGCGGAGAGAGAGGTATTCCAACGAGCCAGGTGTGTGTGCGTGTGTGTGTGTGTTTGTTCCCGAAAGGCATCCCAACAAGCCAGATGCACGCTAAACCAAGCTTTTCTCATCTTGGCTCGCATTCATCTGGTTTTCCTGTGCGCCTGAGCTTGGTTTTATCAGCTGGAACAGTTTGTTGAGCCAAGGAAAGAGGAACAAATTGGTTTAGAAGAAGTTGAAAGGTGAAGTGTGTGTTTATGCATCATTTATTTAAAAAGAGAATCGGAAGTAATGACTGTTTTCAAACATGTTTCCAGGTTCACAGTCATTGCTCAGACTAGATACAGTTGAAGTCAGAATTATTGGCCCCCCTGCTTATTTTTTACTTCCAAATTTCTGTTTAACAGAGATTTTTTTCAACACATTTCTAAACTTAATAGTTTTAATAACTCATTTCTAATAACTGATTTATTTTATCTTTGCCATGATGACAGTAAATAATATTTTATATTTTTCCCAAGACGCTTCTGTACAGCTTAAAGTAGCATTTAAAGGCTTAACTAGGTTAATTTTTTCTGTAGGCAATAGAAAAATATATAGCTTAAAGGGACTAATAATTTTGAGCTTAAAAGGGCTTTTAAAAACTTAAAACTGCTTTTAATCTAGCCGAAATAAAACAAATAAGACTTCCTCCGGAAGAAAAAATATT